AAATAAAGCCCCTACAACATGCTGGAAAAAACAAAAACGGATGGATGACTTACAGATTCACAGGCTTCCAGAGGGGCAAGTTCTCGGGTCATGCCTCCAGACAATTCAGTGCTAAGCAGATGCAGCTGCCCAGCAGAAGCCCTGTCTCTGTAAAGGCAGGAGTCACCTCATCGTGCTGGTACACCCCGAATCTGAAAATCTCTTCTGTTTCAAAACTCTGCCAGTATACACACATCTCTGCTTAGGATTTGGGATCTCCCCATAGAGTACACTGACATTATACAAAAGCCTTTCTTTTTCTCCTCTCTTTGGAGCAGGAGAAAAAGATACCAATTCCGTATCTAGAACTAAATTTGCTTCCTCTTCTCAGTTCACAATTCATAACTCTTCTGTTCATTTAGCTTACCAGCAGGGATGATCACCCAAACGTTAGCTCCCAAAATGTGGATTTCTTGTTTTCAGCCATAAGTACCTGCGCTAGTCTGATTAAGAAGGTAAGACAAACACAGATTTTTATGCCCAACCAAAGCAGCTTGAAGTTCAATATTGAATTCTCCTGGTGAATTGCTAAGGGAATAAAACACACTTAACAAGAGTTTCAAGCCACAGGAACTTTGAGGAAAACTGCTGTTTGAGACACAGATCTCAAAAGTGTAAGGAGAAAGAAGAAAAGTGCATCAAATCATTCATTACAGATTTAACACTCACCTCAGATTAACAAGAAGCCCACTGTCTGATCCCAAGTGTAACAACAGGCTGTAATTTAAAACAGCTTTTATTCATTAATGAATAGAAAATTTATTTCAGTGAGAATTTGGAGAAAACCTGTGCTGATTACCAGCAATGTACAGTCTTTCCTTGTAAAGACATGGCTTGCTGGCTGCGTGCTGTGACACTAAATACAGTAAGCAAATGGTTTCTGCTACCAATTCAATCAGTAGGCTTGAAATGGAATTAACCTTTTAAAAATGCAAAGTGTTTCTTACAGCAGATGGTAGTGTTTGCATATACAAATACCTCTTGGAAATCATAATGTAAACCACATGCTCTGAAACAATAGGATTCCTGAGCTGAACCCTTCATCCTCCTGAAAATGAAAAATAACACTCCCCAAGCTCAGGCTGGTGGCTGCTGCAGCAGGACCCAGCTCCTGCTTATGCTGGGGTGAAGTGGGCACAAGAAGAATTAGGGGAAAAACAAAGGGGGGGGGGCATAGAAGGAAGCAGGGGGACGTTGGGATGTACTAAAAGGTGGTATTTATCACTCACTGCTATACTCTTAGACATATATGAATTAGCTCTAGGGGAGGGCTGCAAATAGGCTGTATTAGCCTGCTTTAACTCTCCTCTATAGTGCAGCTCCTTCACATTTTAAACTGGATAAATTAATCTCCAAAATGCTTTATGCTGCCGTGGCTAGACTGCTCTTGGTCCCTGTGCTAGCGAGGGCAGCTCTCCATAGCATGTCATGAGGCTTTATATTCCTCTGGGTTGCACCAGATACAAGCATTTGCATCTCTTAAAAGCTCCTCAAGTTACCTGCGTTGCCTGACTGCTGCTTGCTATCCATCACACTTTCCTATGCTAACAGACGTTCACGAGCATTTGTCCACAAAGGTTTAAAGAAAGAATAAACGTTCTGAAAAGCAGGCAAAAGTTCTAGAAGCTGTAGCTTTAGGAAGTACATGTAAGGAAAGGTTACAGCAGAACATCACCGCAAAGCAGAATTATCTCAAAAAGCCAGCCAGTCTTTTCCTCCGTATGTTCACATTCTGCCAAAAGCACAAACTGGCACTGTGGTGGAATAGTAAATGTTAGGGGTAACTCTGTCCTGCAGCTTGTCCAGATTCACAGGGCCAAGTTCCCTCAGAACTATAGGGCAGATGTGGTCGGTGGGAGGTGAAACCGCTCCCAGCTCAGGAACCATCAGCCTAGAGGCTCTTTCAGACAGTAGGCTGCTACTTGAACCCCCTCCTGTTCCCTGTAGAGCCTGTGCAAGGATGAGCCCTTAAGCAAAACAGCTGTGTGCAGTGCTTACCTATGGCTTTGTTCTCGCCTGCAGCTGACGTGCTCCATACCAGTCCTTCATGGGACAGGCCGATTTTCAGTTGGTGTCTGTTGAGATATTGAGGCTTGTCTTTGTACACCCATGACATGGAAACAGCTCTGCGCTCCACACCTATTGGGATATGAAACTCTCTTCTTGAATTCAGTGGTGCTTCTAGCTTGTGTTGACAACACCTGAAAGAGAGAGGAAAGACTTGGGCTGGTGCAGTGCATCATCCTGACCATGTTGAAGAACGTATCCGGGCTCACAAAGCTCATCTGTCACTGCCCTCTGCCCAGCATCACATGTGGGACGGCGGCAACACCAGTAATAGCACCGGGCTGCTCCAGGACATCGATGCAGCTCAGCTGACTTGCTTCACTGTAGGACGTATTAGCAAAAATTAATTTTGGTCCCTCTGACGTGCCTGATGTGCCTAGGGTAGGATAGAGGCTAGGTGGCTTGCTTACTTTGTCTCGTATTTTCCGTATCTGGTCATTGCTGAGCATCAGTTTGACCACTGAAATGGCCTTGGGACCACTCTGCGTGCACCCCACTGAGGCCAGAGTTAGTGTCTTGTGTCGCAGCAGGGATATGTAGGCAGACAATCATGTGAGGTGTATTAAAAATGAAGTCCATCAATGAGAGAGAAAGTTACATGTAGGAGCAAACAAAGCAGGAGTTAAGAGTTTCTGAAGTAAGACATTTCCTTTGGCCAAGCCAAAAGCTCTTTAAGAATATTCTCATAAGGTATCTGAAAAAAAAACCCAAACCCCTCCTTCCCCTACTACCTTCTGTCCTTCCCTTCCCTTCTTGAAGTTATCAAAAATCAGGAATAAATGAGAGTAGACAGAGCTGATGCTTTTCAAGACAACCTGCTGTTCTCTAGGCTGGGTCAATAAAAAACGTTTCACTGCAGAGAAGTATAACTTAGAGCAACTTCAAAGCAGCAAAGTTGTAACGAAAGCTGCACCTAATGAAAGCAAGCCTTGAGAGTGGCAGTCTACTATAATGTACAAAGGAATTCCTTTTGTTAACACTAATATTTGGCAGCCATGGAGAACACATTAGGGCACTTTAGTTGGGTTTTAAAGAAAGAAATTGACACAGAAAGGTGGTAATGATTTTTTTTTAATAGAGGATCTCTCTGGGGGTTTGTGTTCATATCACAAACATTCACTTTATTACATTTTATGGAATGGACTTTAAATGCCAGTATATACAAGCCAACATTTCATTATTGGAGTTTGTGTTTATTCACTTGCCATTGTCAGTCTGCTCCCCTTTGTCTTCTTGTGCTGCTCTTAGTAAAAGCTATGATTTATGAATATGTGGTTTAGATCTTTCACAACATGGTGTGGTGAAGTGGTTCGATAAAAAGTTATTAAAGAAAAAAAAAAAATCTATAGTTTCGCGTGCCTTGCCCCCCTTTTATAGGAACCCCCAGTAAGAGGCTCTTACGCTAAGCAAACACTGCGTGCATGAGACTGTAATATAAGCTGCATGCTGAGGGGCCTCACTCAGCCAGAACTCCTGCTCAATGGTAGCCACTGTGGCCAATTACAGTTTTGCCTACATAACTGCAGGATTACGCCCTCAAAGTTATGGAAGTTGCACAGACCAAAAAAGGAGGGGGGTGGGTGGAGGGAAATCTGCCATAAAACGTTCATTTTCAAATCAGTAAATAAAGACTTGCAGTAGCCTTAAGCTACCTAGTACCACACGGCATTTGGTTTTCAAACCTAAAGCGTGTATGTGCCACATATTTAATTTATTTTTAAAACAAAGCTCTCAGTCCTGCTGATTGCAGGATAAACAAAGCTGCCTGGCAGTTTCCAGAGCCCACTTAGAATCTGAATTTCTGCAGAAATGTAACACTGGTTCAGCCTGAAATAGGGAGTGAAAGGCTGATTTAGATCATTGTACCTCAGCCCACGCATGCGTTTTTCACCCAGCAGCGTGCTGACTTGCCACAGCTGCACCACCACATAAAAGAGGGCATGACAAATGCCAGTCAGTTCTTGCATATGGCTGGCAAGAGACAAGAGCTGCTTATAGCAGTGAAAGCTGAAGGAGGCACTCTCTGGGATGAAAAATAATTTGCGAGGAAGATGTGGAAGGCGGCAGAATCTGTTCAAATGCAACACAACAGGAAGAGTGTAAAAGATGGGTTACAAAACAGTTTTGCTGCCTATATTTTTGTGTTCCCAAATCTCTGAAAAATGCAGCTCTACAAATAAAAAGCCCACTGTCTGTCCATCCTCTGTCGGGGATGGATAACTTCATCAAGTGAGCATTACCTCAACGAGTCTGACAGGTATTAAAAGCAATGAGGCATACCACTGCACTGATACCAGCAGCACCGAAATCACCGCCCTGGCACTGCATCTCCCTCAGGACGAGGAAGCACCCTGCACCCTTGCACAGAACCGTTCCTCTGCCCACTCACACTGCTGCCTTCAGGTTCCCTTACTTGAACAGAGGAGCTATTGAGACAGCAATCACAGTCCCTTTGTTACTGTTATCTCTGGCAAACAAAGAATAACCGCTATAATCCTACATCCTCCTGGAGATCTAAACAAGAAGGTTCCAACCTGCGTCAGACTACCAAAATGATTTTGCCACCTGTAGTGCTCTGTGGCCTGCCACGTGCAGTCCTACACACCCATCTCCAGCCAGGTGAGAGGCTGCATGCTGGAGTGAAAAGCAGGTACCAGCACAAGAGCCCAGCACAGCCACTCAGCTGAACAAGCAGTTGTCCAGAGTCAACGTTGCTAATGCTGAAGCACCAAGGCTTTGCATCTTGCGTACGTCACACGCTCTTCTGCTCTGTACCTCAGGAAACGCAACAGAGCATTTTGTCCACCTTGGATTCACTGAGGTTAGATACCCAGATGCCCATTGGCAAGATTCCTCTTCCTGATATAGTAGGAGAATGAAACTACTCACTTCTACTAAAAATATAGGTAATAAGCCCAATAAAACACATTGACCAGCATGAAAAACAAAGGGAAAAGCAATTTGGAGTAGTGGTCTACATTGCTGGGGTTCTGAATTGTGAAATAGCCAATAATCCTGTGCATTTTGTTTCTCAAGACACATTTGATTTTCTCATGAGTTTTCATGGTCAAGTCACTGCAGTTAACATTATCGCTGGAAATCTCAATGCTTGTAAAGCTGATTTTCCGTTTATAGCTGGCGATGGAGCTGTTGAGGATGTTAGTGATGTTGACTTCTTCCATTTCTTTAGTGAATTCATTTGCTGGCCCCTAGGAAACAAGAGTATACAGTTAATTTTAGGATTTGTCTTCTCCTGCAAAGGAAAAGTGCTTTAATCAATATGGAGACTGTAAGGATAAAAATAAAAGAACACTGCTTCATATGTGTTTATCCCAGTGTTCAAACATGCCTTTCAGCTACCGCTGATTTTTAGGGGTGCCTGAAGTCCCAGAGATGCCTGTGTTTCCACCACTGTATTTCTAGAGGTATTTTGAGATCTTTGAGCAAGAGTCACTCTATGTCACTGAGCAACCCAACATCTGTCTCCTACAAGACATCCACCTCTTCATGTCTACACAGTAACTTAATGGCTGGGGAACTCAGCATCGAGGTGGGAAACCTCTTTTCCCTCTGACAGGATTTGGACCCTTGATGACCACCAGACTACAATCCTACTTGACTATTTAATTTCTTGCACTAAAGCAGAGCACTTGGAACAATTCACTCACTCTTGCAACCCCTGCAGAACGTGGTGGGACTGATGTTTGGTACTGTCTTCTGGGAAGGGAGGAAGAAGGGTTCAGATTTCCTCTGGTAGAGAAAATTACCTTCCAGATCAGTGACCTGATCAGAGCTATTCCATAGGAGAGCCAAGAGATGTGTTACACTGGCTTTTGTTTGGCTGCAATTTGAAAGGAACTGGTTCTTCATGCTCTCACATGAACTAAGGTCAGGGCTACAGACCTGACTTTAGTGGTAGGCCAGAGAGCCTTCCTGAATGTGGTCCTGCGAACCTAACATGACTGTCACGTAAGGCTGCTGCTCTTTCAGCTGGTGTGCAGAAGTCTATGTCAGTCTAGTGCTATTCGTGTGTTTGTTGCACACAAAAATTTCGATTTAGTGACAATCAGGAGAAACAATTGTTACTGTATCCATACCAGGAAGACCATTTGTCTTATTCAGTCAATGGAGGACTATTTATTGTCGATCCAAGATAGGCTATTCAGGTAGGTCAGGCTTTACCTCTTGAGGTGCTTTAGCTGCACACTTTTGTGATGAGCTGTAGTGAGCCACTGCATATTCCACAAGGGCACCGAATATGAAGCTGAAGCAGATGCCGAGGTAAACATCAATGGCCTTAATGAAACAGTTGGTTTTCGAAAGTGAACTTCGCGAGCCGATCATCAGAGTTGTCATGGAAAGCACTGTCGTTACTCCTTGGAAAGCAGAAAAGGAAAGACCTTCTCTTGTGGACACTTTGGAAAAGGCTTGGCCTATCCTTCTGCACATGCTGTCACTCTATTGCTAGCCAGGTAGAGCACATAACTGCTTACCAAATCCGAACTGTCCATCAGCTGAAATGCTTTTGTCACGCTAGCTACTAGCTTCACACAGGCTCTCCCTGCCTTTGACAACTTGGCTTCAACAGGCACTTGGCTCTTATTTTTCTTGCTTTCAGAAAAATATGCCCTCCTCCCTGCACCCTCCACAGCACATCACAAAGAACGTGTGCTCTGTCCTCTACTCTGTTTGAATCTACCAGGGGCCTTGGCCATACACAGCGCTGCAGATGGGCAAGCATGCCAGCCACAGCACATCTTCCATGCTTCACACTGCTGACCCAGCTCTGCCACAAGTAAAAGCAGAATGTGAGCAGATCATTTATCACTGAGCAGAGCGCTCAAGAAAACTGCCGTCTGCCCAGCCCTTGGATGCTCTCCTCTGCTTAAATCTCCCTTCCTCAAGCAATAACTCACCAATGCAGGTTCTCGCAGGCACCGAATCCAATGTGATCCAAAAAGAAACCCAGGACAACATGACGAGCAGAGTGGAGGGCACATAGGTCTCCAAAATGAAGTAAAGGACATTTCTTCTCAGCTCAAACTGCAGTATCAGTCGTGGGTAACTGCCTGTTCAGGAAAGGAGGAAACACAGTGAATGTGAGATTCCCAGGGACACTTGAACTGAAATTGGGACAGCCCAGCACCAGCCCTTGAGCTGATGTACATCAGCAGAGCTGCACTGAAATAATGCAAGATGTGTTACAACACAAGCTTGACTTCTTGCCTCAGAGGTCTTACTTATCTAACAGAGCCTAGATGAGAGGACAAATACACACCCCATTGCTGGACAAGAGACATCTAAAACAATGCATGGCTTGCAAAAAGGGGCTCCTGAACTTAATCCACAGTGGAAACATTTTATGCCAGTGTCTCGACTCACAGTAGAGAAGGGCTAATGCTTTCATCTGTTCTCTCATACTCAGCACAGCACATTTTTCCCCAATAACCGCTTTGAAGGGGCATTGCCAAGTTGAGGCTTATCTGATGGCTGAGAAATAAACAAAAGATTTTTCTCTGGGTTTCAGCAGGTCCTGGCTCACATCCCACAGCATCCCAATGTCTTATCATCACAGGGAATTAGAACCCCTATATTCATTAGCAATTTGTGATCTTTGATAACTATGTCTTTTTGTGCTCAAAAAAATTCAGTCAATTTTTTAAAATCAATTTGCCGTAATACTGACATAAGGGTTCTGGGGTTGGATTGCCAGTATTTTCAGGAGATGTTTCTGCCATTTAAACAATAGTTCCCTTTGAAACGTAGAAACAGACCCCATGTTGTTCGTGGGCTGTGTACACTACAGTAAACAACAAAACATTGTTGTTGTTAAAACCTGGTCATTCTAAGGAAGTTTTGCCCCCTTTCATAGTGTCTGTGATTGGAGAGAAGAGTATTTACACTGATAATGAGAAAGACATTGAATTCTGATGTACAAAGGGGGCTTATTCCATCGTGACGGAATTGTAATTTACAAACAAAAGTACATTTTAAAAGTTAATTTTACTCTCAATTACTGTAAACATGGCACTCTGCAGTATTTATAGTCTGCACACCTGGGAGGAAGGGAGAGGCTTTCTTCAGTATGTGTGGAGAAGGAAAGAAGTGGAGAATTTAAAAAAGAAAAATAATTGAAAATCTATCAAGTCAGTATAGAGTATTAAAATCCCGATCTTTCTGTGGATTTCCATCTTACAGAATATCCTGATTGCAACTAATTGGATTTCACCATCTTTCTGTCCATCTCTTTTTGTGAGTTTAAGATTTGCTAAAGACTTACCTGGTTCAGGCTTGAGTCAAAAGGTGCCAGCCCATAGAAGGGGAGGGAGGTGGGAGGAGAAATATTTGAGAGCTTTTCCTGCTTTTCTCTTTCACCGATTTACCTGTTTCCTGCTGTGACTTTGAGACCAGGGTATAGTAACGTTCCACTGTGTACTGAGAGAGACGCAACTTTTCTATGCCATGGACAGAGTCATTTCCTCTCAACCATGTGAAGATGACATCATTTTCATCATATCCCCCTAAAGAGAAGGCAAAGACCCATGTTACCATGGTTTAGCCAGTAAAAGCCCAGCTATTGCCTGGCCCTGTCTCCAGAGTGGGAACAGAAACACGATCCAGGCATTGTAGTCTGGACAAAGGCCCTCTTAACTGCATCAGACTATGGGTGGATGGTGGCTGTTCTTTCATTGCTGTACTCTGCTGCTTCAGATTTCAACAGGAACACACGCCACTCTGACTGATGCGTAACACACAAGGCTGCTGAGAACCTATTTCCATAATTTACATAGGGTATTTCTATTTTAAAATATTTTAACATTTTAGAAGATAGTATGTTCCTGTCATCTGCAGTTTGATTACACGCTGCAGGATAGAACTACTGCAGCGATCAACCTTTGAACATAGTCTCTTCACTCATGAGAGGAGAGCAGGAGAAGCGCAGTGGTTAAAAAAAGAGAATACAGATCCCACTGAGCCCCTTACCAGGTAGCAGAAGCACATTTCACTGAATCGTCTGTTCAAGTGCTTAAAAATACCAGAAAAGATATTTTCAGCTTGGAGCTGAGACCGCTATGCAGTTATGAACCAGGCTCTTCTGACTGGGTATGTGTCGTCCAGAAAACTTCCTCATAAATGCAGCTTTGTCTACAAATCATTCCTCCTATCCCCAAAGGCTTTAAGTTATTGAAGACAAATAAATACATTTGGCAGCTAGGTAACACTGAATTCCTGCCTCAAAATGGTGGGACAGATGAGATCAACAATTCAAGAGTTTATCAGTAAACTCCATATATGCCAGCCGAGTAATTGCCTCCAGGAATGCAAAAGACGGCATAACATTGACTTCAGGTTGAACTGAGGGATAAAGCTTGTACTGAGTCACCAGCCTGCCATTCACTTAAAAAATTTCACTTAATTTAGGAAACAAGCCCATCAATCTCACTAATTTCGTTCTTTTATTAAGTGCCCTTCTTTGAGAAAATGAGTAGGGATGCTTTGATTCTGGTAAGAACCTGTTTGTCCTGGTAGAAGGAGTAAGATGCAGTTGCAGCTCTATTTTTATCTAATTGTGTTTTCCTATTAGACACAAATTACCAGAGCTTGAGCGCGATGAACTCCTAAATTAGGTGTCCAGGGTATGAATCCCTGTGCAGAGTCCTAAGCATGTGACTTTTCAAAGTTTCTAAGCAGTTTTATAAATTGTGGTTACTCAGGAAAATTTTATAATAAATGATAGATTGTTGTTAATTCATCTGGCGTATATTTAAATAGCATTATTTCTGGGCACTTATCCTAATGAAATCTCCAGTGGGCAATGTGCATGTAATTTCATTGGAATTACACAGCAACTGAGCATGATGTAGGACCCAATCACTTTTAAAATAGGCCCAAACAAGCAATGCTTTAGCAGAAGAGGCCAATCATTATTATTTCAGGAGCTATTCTTTGTAATAAAGTTAACCATGGTGAAGTAATACGATTTTAATGTGAAAATAATATGTGCTTCCCTAGGTGCTTTACGCTGCAACCCCAGAAGTTAAAATCTGGTCTTTTCAGTATTGAGAGATATTAGATGTTTCTTTTGTGACATGAAGTGGGAGATGGTTGCTTGCTTGTTGTGGAGCTTCACAGATATAGAACAGCAGTGCTGCTCTTGCTGAGCTCCTGGGTAAAAGCCCTGTAGTGTCTTCCCTAGCCAGCTTTGCCATGGATGAGCTTTTAATTTAATTGAGAGCAGAACTCTGATTATTCCTTTTTTTGAGAACTCTCCTTATTCCTTCCAAGGCTGAGACTTCTCCTGTTGATGAGGGTCCCATCATTTGCATCACGATAACAGACAGCCCTCGTGGAGAAGCATATACCCCAAAGTTGGGTTTGGCCTTAGAATCACAGAATCATTGAGGTTGGAAAAGACCTTTAAGATCATCAAGTCCAACCATTCCCCTAACCCTGCCATCCCACCACCAAACCCTGTCCCTAAGCTTCATTTCAGTTCATGAGTTTGAGAGGCGCATTCAACTCATATTCTAGCAAGAACCACCCTTCACACAGTCGTGTTACCGCGGAGGTTTGGGAGGTGCAACAGGTGGTAGGTACCTAAAAATGGGAAAAGCTGTTCCTTGCTGTACTCCATCCCATGCACTCACCCCACAAGTTAGTTTTGAAGAAGCTGTGTGTGCAAAAGGGACTGACTTTGGAAAATCAGCCATTACTAGTTCATCCTTTCTGTGCAAAAGTGAACTATCTACACTTTAATAAAACTATTATTTATTACCAATCTTGTTACACAAATCGCGCAGTGACAGGAATCCTCTAAACTGTGGATTACAACACAAGCATTTGAAGAATGATAAAGGAAAGTTGTTTTCTTTTGGACATAAGTATTTGCAGGAATAAAAGTCTACTCCAGAAAGCCACTGTGGTGAATCCAAATATTCAAGATGCATAGTTACATATGAATAAACAAATTTAAAGTCAAGTCAATTTTTTCTCGAATGTTATACTTACAGCTTTCTAGCTGCAGTCGGCATGTTTGTGTGTCCATGGGGTATTTTGACAGGTCCATGTTACATGCAACAGTAGTAGTGATTCTGTAGGAAGAGAAAGAACTCTGAAAGTTGCAATAGAGATATTTCATTGCATGCTTTTGTTTTTCATAGCAAACTAGACCACAAAGACTCTGCTCTGTCATTTAGATAATTTTGGTCTACGAAATGAATGGACTGATATAATCAGAGATAACCCTCCTTAAGAAGATGTGCTGTCTGCAGCCACACTGATTAAAACATAATCAAAGGAGGAATTTTGCTTTGCTGTGGTGGGAGATGCAGTGTAGGTTCACGTTTCCCAGTGCTACAGTTTGCACATGTTAAGAAGTCACCACTTGTCACCTAAGGCACCGTAACTAACTGCACATATACTCTGGCTTGCTCTGATCTGGAGGACAAACGAGCCTCACTTTGCAGCTTTACTTTGCAGTTAAGGTAACTGGGACACAGTTACTGTGAGCTGAGAAGAGATAACACACTATGAATCGCTAATACAACTGCAGCGCACATTTCTACAGTACATGTACAAATACACTTTTGGCTAAAAAGCAGAAATCGCGGCTATGTGGCACTGGATAAGCAAATAGTTTCCCACTATCTGTTAAACTTTTACTGTTATGATGTCCTCCCTCCATTCCTCCCCTGCCTCCATCTGACTTGACTCATCCTGGGTAACACCTAAACTCGTGAGCCTGCTGAGCAGGCACAGTGCTCGGGACACAGCACGTACCATGGTGGGGAATCCTCATCCTTGACTGGTATTTCCAGGTGGCCAGAACAGGGGGTAATGGATCACAGTTGGCTTGTTGACCCCAAACTCGTTACCTGTGACAGTTGGTATCTGCTCCTGACCAAAATCGTTCTGGAAATCTATTCTGAACCAGCAGCAAAGCCAAAGGTTGGTTTACCTTAAGGCATACAAGATAGTGCCGTTAGAGAACAGTCTAATGAGGCGGTTCCCCACAGTGACGTCGTGCAGGAAGGACCTTTTTGATTCCACAATGTACGTGTCTGGTACCCAGAGCAGTTCCACTAGACGAGCATCTAGCGTGAAGCTCTTGTTGCCGTGAAAGACCAACCGGGGGTCTGTCCAGCGTTGCCGCAAATATATAGTAGCTGTGTAATCCTGGGAAAGAGAGGAGAAACTGTGAGGATGTGTGTCCTGAACACCTGCACAGCACAGCCGTGGGTATGCCGTGTGCAACAAGAGGCAGCACACACATTTGTTCAGCCTATCAAAGCTCTGCTTCAGATGCATGCAGTAAATCTGGTAGATTTTCATCATAGCTTTATTTACTGTATTACATTTCTCATATACTTACACTCTAAGGTGTAGTCTTTGAGGACTAAAGATTATACTCATTACTTTAATTGCAATTATTGTAATTGATATTTTTGTGTCCATTTTGCAGGTAAGAAAACAGATAGGAAGTGCACGCTCAGGCAAGTCTTGAACATTAAAAATCAGTCATTGTTTAGAGCTCGAAAATTACACACGTACTATAAACGTGATCATGAAAGAGACACTTTGGAGAAAAAAGGTAAGCAAGTCCAACCTGTTATTTCACTGAGGTCTTAAAAAAAGCTGAAACAAATGAAAAAACCAAAACTTGTAGCATCTTTTTAAATAGGAGTTTTGAATCTAAGGACACTAGGATTAACTTGAGTTTTGCCTGCCAAAAGCCACCTGCAGTGATAGAGTATTTTCACAGTGCCCCATCATAAAAGAATAAGCAGTACTCAGCTCTGAAGGCAATTCTGTACTGAGCCTTCTGGACAGACACAGGGCACTGTTGTACTATTTTACTTCCTTCCGTATAGATGAAGTAAATGCAATCAGTAATGCCTTTTACTTTCAAAACATCTCTGTCACAGACAGACTGATACTGGCGACTGCATTAACAGCGTGAAGGCGCTATGGGTTACCACAGATACGCTGCCTGTCTGTGGAGAATGAAGCAGTTCTGTTTCATTCCATCTATAATTTGTGGAATGCTTTAAGAGAAAAGGTCTAAATAAGTATCTGGTATCAGCATTAGCTTTTGCAGCTTTTAAACTTTTGCTTTCAGCCTGTGACTATAATGGCACTCAATACAGTGAATTAGAATAGTGACAAAAGTGAAGAATCCTAGTTGATTTCCAGCTTTATCGAGGCACAGAGTAAGCCTCTGCAATGCCTCTATGTGGTCAGAGCAATTTAGATGGACCATCAAGAGGAAAAACTCCAGAACAGGAGCTATTTTACAAGGCCCTTTGATCAAGTTAGAGGTATGTAAATTATTTTGTTCATTCTGCCCCTTCCCCAAAATTAATAGCTTTATCAAAGTTACAGTATTTCATTTAGTGAACTTGTTTAATTGGGGGGTGGGTTGGGGGGGAGAAAAGAAGTCAGTGATGTTCTTGAAAATGCTGAAATTAAGTGTCAAAATTGTTCCTGACTTAAATTCTGACTGACTGAAACTGTTTGCTGAATTTACCCAAGTTGCCCATAGTTTTGGTCAACTTGAAATAGGAGTTTTCAGCAATCAGTGCTTGAAATCAAGCTGTTACCAGAAGTGGGGAGAACCAAGACTCATCAGTGGTGGGAAGATGTTCTCGGTATATTTGAATTTTTTTTTTTCTTAGGATGAGCAGTCCTTCGAGCCTCAGACTGTCACAGCTCATTTCTCCTTGAGAAGAAACCCTGTCTGTGTCTTCTATTGGCACCAACACATCCTACAGAGCCCACCCTACCCTACTCAGAGAAGAGGTAAGGGGGAGGAAGTGCCACACAGGATTGATTTTTTCCATTTCAAAGGGGCCTGATTTCCAGGAGGTGCTGAGTTTTTGACCAGCAGGACCTTTGGAGCCATCTCTACTTACAAGCCCACATTACTATGGCATCTACACAGTCTGGAGTTGTAAATGAGCCCAGTTCTCATCACACCTCTGAAAGTGGTCAACAGACACAGAAAAGCAAAGCAGCTTGAATATGACAGTTAGTTCCTGTGCTGAGCATACAGGAATGTAAGACAAGTCTCTCAGGCAGATCCTACTCTTGTCTCTTATAAAATAAAAATTCTCTCACTTACCATGTCGCTCTCGGATATACTAGAAATACTTGCAATGTCCAGACTCATTGCAATTTGAACAGGTTCTCCTGTGGAGGGAAAGAAAAGCTGAAGCAGAGAGAAAGGAGGGGTTGAAAGGCACAATAGAACCACTCAGGCTGCTGCACAGCATGGGCACCGCTCGCAGCGTCCTGTGCGTGCAACGCTGTCTCTCAAACTGCAGAAGCCCAAAGGGTTAGACTCACAAATAACAACATGATCCAAAATAAAGTTTTCACTGTTAGGGAGCTGGAGTCCTGTATTTGGTGATGGTAGCAGAGAGCAAATACCCGTCAGCACTAGCTATGAAGACCAGCAGTTTAGATAAGCAGCATTTCAGTGGCATTTGCCGACGGGCAGGCAGCCAGGGCCAGTTTATCGCCTGTTAGCCAGACCACAACACCCGCGCAACGGCAAGACCAGTGAACTTTGTATAAAGTTCTCGCACAGCTCTCCGAGGACTCCCCACAAGCAGGCAGCAATCGGCATCCCTGGTTGTCAGAGAGGAAAAACTAAGAGGCAGAGAAATTCAGTGATTCCTGAGTCCACGCACTGGCTTAAAAACCAGAAGTGCAACAGCCTTTGCCTCTTTTTATTTATTAATTACTGTGCTATTTACAAGCAGATTTTCAGCATTCAAGTCCTGAATCTCGGTAGTCCCACACTTTCAAACACTAACTCTTAAAATCCACCACACGAGGGCAGCTCCTCCCCAGGAAATGTCAGAGCTGGGGGCTGGAGGGGCTCACCAGGCCCTGCTGTGGAGCTGCCTCTGAAGGGATACTTGTTACACGAGCAGAAATACACAGCTTTCCCTCAGGCTGTGCCTGGTTTGTCTCATCCCCAGCATGAATTTGGGGCTCTGAGTAGGGCTTGGTGCTTTCCAAGACAAGCCCTCTCTGCCTAGGTGACAACACAGCGATGCCTTTCCTTGTGGGACTTGCTGAAACTCCTTTACATCACCTAAACCACATTTAGGAAGGTCCAAGGGACACAGGTGCTAAATCTCCTTCCAGGTGGTTTACGGTGTTTTTTGTTTGTTTATTTGTTTTAAACTCTTCCAAAATCCAAACTAGATATCATTTGAAAAAGATGTGTATCTTTTAAAGTAGCTGTCATTCATGTCCTCAGTCGTGGTTTTAGATATTTAGACACTTGAAGCCCACTCAAATTAATGACCAGAGGGTAGATCTGTGAGAACTCAGGGAGGAGGTCAAACCAGAGTCCTGATCGTTTTTGTTTGACATTCGTGGCTGTGGTAGGCGTAGGCTGGTATAGGTGCAGTTAATCTCCATTACATAATTCAGAAGCATCTGTTCACAGATGTGACAGGATCTAGAGGAGCTTTTCTATTCCTGCAAGAGATCAGACATTCTAGGCAAAACAAGCTGGTAAATTCTGTGTTGTCCCAGTAATCTGTCACTGTGGTCAGAAAAAGGGAAGAAGCTCAAAGCTGCCAGTGGCAGAAGGTCAGTCTGCAGGAGCTACAATAGGAAACATCCAAGTCCTGGTGAAAGCTGATGGGGAGTTTTTACGTGAGCACAGTTTCATTACCAGTGGCAGAAGGTCAGTCTGCAGGAGCTACAACAGGAAACATCCAAGATGGGTTCTGGCAGAAAAGCAAAATTGATAGAAATAAAAATGTTCATAGCTGTTTTTCAAATATTCATCGATATTTTTCAGGTGCTGAATGTCATTCCGAGAAACCCTTCCCTCTGAGCGGTTACAGCACTTAGAAGGTGGGAGACCTGATGCCCAAACTGGACAAAAGCTTCTGGTAAGTTCATAAACACCTGACTGTCCCTCCGGTGCTCCCTACTCCCTAGACTTTCATGAGGGTTTAAAACAGGTTTAGTTTGTGTCTCAGTGCGAAGTGAAAGCATGTGTCCAAAGTCAGTATTTCTGGCAAGGAGAACAGCTTTATTACTCTACAGCTGCAATCTACTAAATAGATACACATGAACAAAAATAAAGCAGAAAATCACAAGGGTCAGATTCTAAACAAAAGCATGCACGATTAGAGCAGATTTTTGTTACTCTGTCAAGTCTTTCACAGAGGTATTGAAGTTTACAGATTCCCTGTTCTTAGCCTCATAGATGGACACGTTATGCCCTGCACGTGCATGCACAATCTATTCAAGACAATGGTGGATGCACAGAAAGGAGGGCAGCCTTGGCTACCGGCTAATTTAAAAGGAACACAACTTTTTAAACTGGGGCATCCTAAGGAACACTTAATGCATGCTCTCCCTTCCCCACAAGGCTTACAGACTGTTCTTCAAACGGTCAAATGCACGGAGCCAACGTACCACCAAAGTAGGGCCTGAGGTATTTGTTGTATCCCATGGTGAGGTTCTCAAATCCAGGGAGGGATGTTGTGTCGCTTCCGTGCAAGCCGGATACGTGACCCAGGGAGCACCTCCTGGGGACACAAATACGTACTGTTACCTGTGGCCAGGCATGCTGGGCACATCTGATGTGCAGCTGCGTTTCCAGCTTGTGCTCAAACAAGAAAACAAACCGCATAAAATGCTTATTAAAAAAAAATAGAGCATTGAAATCATGAGCACTTGCTCACATTGCTTATCTTGGCTGAATAATTGGCACCTTGAAGAGGGGGGAAAATGGCAAATTGCCTCAGCTGGTAGGTACAGGTTTGCACACGTAGTGGCTTAAGGACATCCTTAAAACGTCCCAGACAAATCAAGCAAGGTCCACATATCACAAGTCTTAATAATAACCTGCAGTCTCCCCCTTCCCACTCCTCCTCATACAGTCTACACAAGAAACATGCATTTCTTTTTCCTCCTGCTTATGACAGCCTGAGGCAAATCTTACTGACCAACAGCTGATCCTTCCTAATCACTAGTCCCCTAAAGAAGCTTTCATTCTGTATGTTAGTGTCAGGCAGCATCCCTACAGCTACTATCAGGAGTAGAACCTCCAAATACACCGGCAGGGGAAAGGTAAAGTGCCGAGCACTTCACTGACACCAACAAAGTTTGCAGGCTGAACCATCCCTAGCTGCTGTGCACACAGAGGGTTCAACTCTAATTTACAGTGTCAAAATGAATGATTGGTGGATGGACAATAAAGCTAATGCCTGACGTTATGAGGCTCACAGATCTGTACCATCATATAGACAGGTAGAGAGACAGGGGGTTGGACTGTACAAGGTAAGTTTTATGGCACAGTGTGCCTGTGTGGTTGCATGCTGACTTAATGAAAATGTAAATGAGTGAATCGTTAAGAGTTTGCCATTGCTTTGTGAAGGCCTGAAGGAGGTGGAAGGCAGTGCCACTGCCTCTCCCCAGAGCATCAGGACCACTGGTCTGCGCAGTAAGAAACTTAGCAATGTAGTTACTCAGAGCTCTGATGATTTTTTTTTCTTCTGTTCCCTTTAAAGCTGTGTCAGTAGTCCTTGGAGATTTGCTGCAGGTTTTAGACCAGAAAGGACCTTACAGTAGAACTGAACCAGTTCGTGCACAGAATAAACCATTCAAGAAATTTAGGACTTGTAGTTCCAGGGATGGTAATAACACAGCTGGGAGTCCTGTGGGGGGCATTTCCAGTGCAAACTGCAAACTATTCTGGATCTAAACAGGAAATAAGGGGGTGTACCGTTAACGTACATACTGTGGTTTGGGGACCTGTACAGGTTGCTCTCTTGTATGCCACATCCCTTACTGCACCCAGCTTTCTTTGGATGGTCTGGATAACTGGAAGTACGGTTTCCTTTTGACCCACGTTATTTATGTGAAACACAATTCAGACCTTCCCTGTAAAACAAAACAAGCACTCTGCTTACCTTTGGGTTGGAAGGAAAAGACACAAACTGAAGAAGCAAAAATATCTGCAGAACATCTTCGGAGGTTATTTCTGTATTTGCTCAGCTTGTCTGTGAAGCAGGAAAGAAAAGCAAAGTTTTGTGGTTTAAGAAAAACTATTTAAGGGAAGCGGGGAGCAGGGAAAAGAAATCCTGCACAGTCAGAACCACACACTGTGTCATGTTTAACAGTCCCAACACATAGTGGCTCCAGCCCTTTTTTCTAGTTTGTGTAATTTTTTCCACCACCACGCTATCTTAACACTTGCCACAGAAAAGATGCTAGTGACAACTCAGGTCCTGAAGTCCTCAACAGGGTGACAAAATTTTAGCTGCCACTTTGTTTTAGATAGGGCTTTTCTTCTTTCAGCATGGATGGGATTAGCTGATGTTGAGAATGGCACCATGGGAAGGGATTTCTTAAACAGAAAAACATTTAGGCAGTTCCTAAAGGCAGCCAGACTCTGAAGCCAAGTGAGATCCTGCCCGCATACGACAGATTCCGCATCTTTTAGTCCAGGGCTCCTCTAATCAGCTACACAGAAACGCTCTACCTCTGTGCTCCATTAGCTTGTACCTGGGACAAACCCACGCTGTTAATAGTAATGTTGGCAAGGCACTCAGCATGCAGTACAGGATGAAATCATTCCACTTGAAATGGGTTTCGTTGACTTTTCTGGGAGTGGAACCAAACCTTGGCCTCTGGCCTGAGACTCCCACAGGCTCGTGCTGGCCTTGGAGCAGGCGCCACGATGGGCAACTCTTACTGTGCACTGCTCTGCATTTTTGCTCCCTGCCTGAAGTGCCGCATCAGTTGCACACCTTCTCTTGTGCACACGGACGGCGCTCTGCCACGCACCTAACGCGTGTTGCCACAGCAAGCTGCTGCAGGATGGGCTGGTGAGCACAACTGCCACAGCTGCCGAGGGGAGATCGTTACTCAGTCATCGTTAATTTGAGCTGGAAATACAATACTGCTCGACCTGCCCTGCTACACTGTTTGAGGTGTACCCCGTCTGTCAGAGTTTTCCTGCAGACACTGGCAAGGCAACATCATTCTTGGATGGATACGAGTCTTCCTCTTTATTATACTGTTACAAACTGGGAACGACTGTGCAGATCGTTAGTCCCTGGGCCTTGGCACCAGTGACAGCAAGATCCCAGCTTCAGGTTCAGTGCCTTTCTCATCATGCACAGCAATTAGGGCCTCGACTTCAAACCTGGCTGTTCCACAGTAACCCAAATACCAAGAATGGGTTAGATGCTTCCTGCGGTGGTTCACCACAGCCCAGGGGACACGCTGCCCCCTCAGATAGTTGTGCAGCTCTGGTGCTGTGCTGTGCGGCAGTAGGGTTCTAGGCGGGGAGAACATCTTGGCCCGTACAGGGCCAGAGAAAACACCTGAACATTCAAGCAACTGCAAACGCAGGGCATCCCCCTGGAGAAAGGATGTTTTTCAAAATAAAATATGTGCTAATATCTGTCCAAAATCTGAATTCCTAACAAGGCTTTGCGCTTCCAAGCCCTTCCTCTGAACGTGGCGTTCAGATGTTTCCAGACATTTCATCCCCTCACGGCAACGTTAGACCACAATTTTGATGGGAATGAAAGAGGATTAGTCAAGGTAGTTTAGAGAAGAAAGGATAATTCTACAAATCAGCATTTAGTTAAAGTGTTCATGAACTTCAGCTGAGGAACCCCATGAGCATCCTTCATGAACATCTGTTTTGCACAGGGGCTGCGGTTGCCAACATTCTGTTGCATCAGAGTAAGTTTCTAAACAGTTTTATTCTACCTGATCCTAGTTACTAAGACCTTATTTTGAAAAAAGCAAGCCAAATTCTATTTATTTTGATGACTGCCTAATGGATGGGGACCTCTTATGCAGTGAAAAGCCTTCTTGGGACGCTGGTGTGCCTTCAGTTAGCAGAAGCGAAGCGTGAAGTGCAATGTGTGCTACCTCTGTCTAGCAAAGACAGTTGAAACAAACCAACTCGGATACAGCTGCTCCTGCTGCCACAGACCTGAGTGAATTACAGAGTCTAAATTTCTCTGTGACTCCCCTAATTCTTTGCAAAACAAGGAAAAATCTTGGTTTTCTCCTCTAGAGGATGGCTGTGAAGAAGATAAATACATCAAAGACTGTAAGGCAGTGAAAGGGGGATCTGTAAGTACCTAACAGAGCTAGAAACTAGGCACAGCAAAGTACTGATGGGCAAGAAAAAGGTGACACCAGTGCCCAGAGCTGAATATAACCAAAGCATTTCTTTACTATTCAGCGTCTCAGTTAATACAACTGCAATTCTGCTTTTATAGTGCAGGAGCTTTCATCAGAGGTTACCAGCTTTGTTAGTACAGTATACTGGGAAGAAAGTATTATAAGATTGTGTATTTCTGTTTTTTCTGTCCAGTAAAGGATTTCTGCTTACTCACACACTCACCCCACCCAACCACCCCCACCCTTAAACACTGTTTAATCTGGACATTTTTCTCTGGTCAGTGAAAGCACCACACAGGCAATACCAGAACAGTCATCATGAAGGCAGTACTAGTACAACTGGTGGAGAGATTGCTTCCAATGCCAAAGTGATATAAAAATCATTCATTATCTAGACTCAGAGATAACAAAAACCTTGAGAATGTAATAGCTTGCTCACTCAGCTCTGTGTTCTCCCTATTGGCTGTGAAAATTATACAAAAATGCAAGTACTGTAGTAAAACAGAGTCAACTAAAGTCCTCTGTGGAAGCCTGTGTCCACTTCCAGAGAATTGCATGAAATAACGCTTCTTTACACCAACCAACAGCAGCAGTATGCGCCCCACTACAGCTCAGTCTGTGCTTCCTTAATTCTGCTTTATCCCTCCATCATCCACTCATCCTAAGAGTGAAAACACAAAAGACTGAAAAATACTGGCAGCTACGATAATTCTGTTCGTGGGGAATGGGGTGTGAGGTAATAGAGACGTACACTGTCACTTGATGGGCCCTGAAATGGTCCCCAGGCTCCTTTGCAGGGCTGCCAGGGTAACCCACGGGGACAGGCTCCTTCGTCCCGAGCAGTAACACACGGTGGGGAAGCCGGCAGGAACCACTGCAGAGCTGCCTTACCTCCCGCTTCACCGGGGAAAGCACCGTCCGTGCCTCGCTGCGCAGAGCAGGTGAGCATCGTCTCTGATTTTCTACTGGCTGATGTCATCCCGATGCCAGGCAGTAGGAGCATTTATGAGAATCTAAAAAGCCACCCAGAGGACCAAACCCATACGACCAGTTTACTAAGCTTAAGGTAGTAATTCACCAGGTCGGATTTTACGAGAGCCGAATTGCTATCACTGCAGAACACGCCACACAGGCACGCATGCGTCTCAGGATAAAACCTCGCTAGGGAAGATAGCGAAAACAAAATAAATGCTGAAATAAAAACAGATTGCATTTAATTTGCCCATTTAGGTGTTGCCTCTATTTATCACACAAAGTTAAGAGTTTTGTGACAAACGTGGACATAGTTTGTTCTATTTCCCTTGTACGTCAGCAAAAGCTCTGCAGGGAACACCCCCGGCCGCTTGTGCTGTGGGCAGGGGTGGCTCGTGAGCACCACGAGGCACGATGGTCCAAGGGCAGCCTGCGTCCCATGTGCCAGGTCCTCACGCAGACCCCGGACACCCTCACACCTGAAACCTCAGCCTGCACGAATCAAACACAAATGAGACCACATCTGAAAATTTTAGGCAACCATTTTCACAGGGGTGTTTTCACAAGTGCTTTGAGTCCCAGGACAAGCGATGGACATCACACAAGGACGCTTATTTTCATCTCAGAGGGATGTGGATCATTCGGCTTTGCCATGGCGTGGCTCTGCCGGAGCACCAGCGCAGCCCTGGCAGCAGTTTCACCGCCTTTCCTCTGCCCAGGCGTGTTGCTCATTCATGGTCAGCATGACCAGCACACAGGAATGGTGCTACAGAGAGGGAAGGCAGGGTCAGAGACTCTCCTTTTGCTCCCTGTATTCACTCCCAGGAATAACTTCCCAGGAGAAAGCATCCCTACACCATCACCAGGAGTTTCCAGCTTCACGACTGACCCGTGGCTGCACCATTCTGCACTGAGCTTCCTTTGGCCACCAACATGAACGCGATAGTTGCCAAATACAATTACAAACTTATGAAAGAAGCAAAAAGCATTACACACCCTGGGATCAGACTTTGCTGGCTTTGCCAAAATGTCACTTCAGGGTCAACATATTTGTTTATCTGGAAGAGGTTTTGAGTGATTTAAGACAGATACAATCTGCCTTCCCTTTTTTAATGTTTCTTTTTTCCCCCCTGCCCAGCCTGAACTGCGAGCAGTTGTCTGATCTTGAAAGACGACTGCTTTGGGGATGTGCGTGGGCAGGGGATTTTGTAAGGAAAGGTTCATGGCACGACAGCTGCTGGGAGAGAGTTGGGTATTCTGATGATTTATTATGAGAGCTGTTCAAATTTTAACTTACTGACCAAATAAATCGTTAAAGGTTTTCATTTTCAGTTGATCTAAAATGATTTGCCTCTCAATCTAAACCTTAACTTGAATTTTTTTTTTTAAACTTTAAAGCTTGCTCTTCCTAGAAAAACAATGTTAATTGCTATCTTTTTCTTTTTTGAATGTTGAAATCTATTTTGGCAGGCCAGGAGAAAATCTGAAGCAACTGCAAGGAAGAGAATGGAGTTAACAACAAGGAAACATTTTCGTCCAGCATTTTTATGCAAGCCCCTCTTACTGAAAACCTTAGTTATTTGGCAACTAAAATCAATTTATCCAGAACAAATCCTGTTATTACAGAACTAAAGAGCCAGTAGGATCCTGTCACGTGTCAACGGATACTCAATCTCACTCCTCAGCTGGTCAGGACAAAAAGGGACATGAGAGGCTGATGGAGGAAAAGGGAATGGGAGAACCTGGAAGCAGCGCCTGTACCAGCAGATGGGTAAGATTGAAATCTATTGTTTCTGATCTTCTAGCTTCAAAAATCTTTTTTCTTGCTTATAATATTTTCTGACTAAA